AAGTTACAAATTTGTGTTTTAGTATTTGTGGTTCAATTTTTTTTGTACATATGCTACAGGCCCCGCACTAGCTTAATCCGGCACTGCATACTTCACCAAAACACGCGCACATCACCATCCCGTGCAAATCAGTTTTAATGGACATTGGCCGCTACGTCAAACGCGGAGGTTCGTGTGACCTCCCGTCTGGATCAGAACATCTCTCCGCGCCCGTGGGATTAAATATTTAATTCACAGAGATTTTAATTCAGGAGTCATTCAGAAAAGTCTGCGAGGGATCTTTTCCATTCCGACCTCGCAGGGCAGCGCCACACAACCCCCCTCCCCCCCGCGTTGGGGAACGGAGCCCACGGAAGCGGACATCCCAGAGCTACATCTGAGATCCCGTCATCAAGCGACCCTCTGGCCTACGCAGTCGGGGGGGGGGGGGGGGGCAGCACTTCTCGAACCACAGAGAGGAACATTCTTCGCGTGATGGTCGAATGCGATATATCGATATTTTAATTCCCAACGCTGGAATTCAACAAAATCTAAGTGCAAAACCGCATTTAACGAGATGGCGTCGTTCCACGTGCAGTCGTTTGTTAATGTGCCGAGACCATCGAGTACATGTGCATGCATATTGAGCCTATGGGTCTCTGTGTAGACCTGTGGATGTATGTGAGCCTATGGGTGTCTGTATGAGTCTATCGGTTTGTGTGCGAGTCTGTGGGTCTCTGTGTAGACCTGTGGATGTATGTGAGTCTGTGGGTCTCTGTACGAGTCTATAGGTTTGTGTGCGAGTCTGTGGGTTTCTGTGTAAACCTGTGGATGTATGTGAAACTATGGGTCTCTGTGTAGACCTGTGGATGTATGTGAGTCTGTGGGTCTCTGTACGAGTCTATAGGTTTGTGTGCGAGTCTGTGGGTTTCTGTGTAAACCTGTGGATGTATGTGAAACTATGGGTCTCTGTGTAGACCTGTGGATGTATGTGAGTCTGTGGGTCTCTGTACGAGTCTATAGGTTTGTGTGCGAGTCTGTGGGTTTCTGTGTATTTAAGTGAAGTAATTAAATTTACACTGGGGAACCCAGTTTAATCACGAGTGTTTAAGGTAAGAGAAACCCAGTGTTTGTGGGAGGAGCCAAGTGTTTGTAGGAGGAGCCAAGTATTTGTGAGAGGAGCCAGGTGTTTGTGGGAGGAGCCAGCTGTTTGTAGGAGGGGCTGGGTGTTTGTGGGAGGAGCTGGGTGTTTGTGGGAGGGGTCAGGTGTTTGTGGGAGGGGCCAGGTGTTTGTAGGAGGGGCCGGGTGTTTCAGAGGAAGGCGAGTGTTTGTGGGAGGAGCCGGGTGTTTCAGAGGGGCCGAGTGTTTGTGGAAGGGGTCGGGTGTTTGCGGGAGGGGCCGAGTTTTTGAGAGGAAGGCGAGTGTTTGTGGGAGGAGCCGAGTGTTTGTGGGAGGGGCCGAGTGTTTGTGGGAGGGGTCGGGTGTTTGCGGGAGGGGCCGAGTTTTTGAGAGGAAGGCGAGTGTTTGTGGGAGGAGCCGAGTGTTTGTGGGAAGAGCCAGGTGTTTGTGGGAAGAGCCAGGTGTTTGTGGGAAGAGCCAGGTGTTTGTGGGAGGAGACAGCTGTTTGTGGGAGGAGCCAGGTGTTTGTGGGAGGAGACAGCTGTTTGTGGGAGGAGCCGAGTGTTTGGGAGGGAGAGCTATGAGAACAGGACGTGCGTGCACCCGAAGTGCGTGACGTAGCAGTGCGGCTCTTCGCTCTCCTCGCCGGTCCCCAGGCCAGCGTCTGCAGCAGGGAGAATGCAGCAGCAGCAGTAGCAGCAGCAGTAGTAGCAGCAGTAGCAGCAGCAGCAGCGGGCATCAGCGTCGCTGCCAGAACGACGACGCCACGGAATGACACACAACACAACGCAACACAGCTGGGATGACACGCAACACAACAACACTGCCGGAATGACACAACGCAACAACACAGCTGGAATGACACACAACAACACAACGGAACAACACAGCTGGGATAACACGCAACACAACAACACAGCTGCAATAACACACAACACAACAACACAACGCAACAACACAACAACACAGCTGGAATGACACGCAAAAGAGCCGAACGCCGGTGCGTGGGAGGAGGTGGCCGGCGGGGGGGAGGGGGCCGTCGGCCGTACCAGCGTGGTGTTTGCTGGGCGGCTTGGTCGACATCATCCACACGCTGCGGGCCTCCCCAGCGCCCTGGCCGCTCGCCACCACCACGCGCCACACCACTGGTTGCTCACTGCTCCGGAGCATCCGTTGACGACGTCACACGGCCATGCAGACGGACGACACGTCGCACAAGCCACGTGACGAGACGCTCGCCGCAACGATGACAACAACAACGACAGCGGCAACAACAACAACAGCTACAACGCCGGCAACGGCCGCCAATTCAGCGGGGGCGACATCGCCACGGCGCACGTGCCGCGCTAGGTGCACTTAGAGGCCGACCATTTGAATTGTCGAAGGCTATGGGCTGCTGACAGAAGGTCGCGGGATAGACCCAGGTGCCATGGGTTGACTGCTGTGCCAGGCTAGGTGCTGGAGGTCACAGGTCAGACCCCAAGTGCCATGGGGCTGACCGAGCGAGATGACCGGCAGCTGCACCGCCTGTGCCCAACCACTGTGGAAGACTTTGCAGTTTTTTCCTAGATATTTCTGTTTGCGCGTAGTCACATAGTCACTTTAAGATGTTTTCTTGTTCATGTTTTAGTTTTTTGTTTGTAGCCATCCGGCGCTCCGCTCGCTGTTGCGAGCATCACTTTCATTCTGCACCACAACAACAACAATAACAACGGCCGCCTTTCGCCACTAAGTGGCAGTGACGTCACCACGGCGCATGTGCCAGGCTAGGTGCACTTTGGTGGTGTGTGGTAGTGTTGTGAGGGTAGTGGTAGAGGGATGGGGAGTGGTGGGGAGTGGTAGAGGCATGGGGAGTGGTGGGGAGTGGTAGTCATAGGAGTATATGTTGGTGAAAGATGGTGAATGTTGGCGCATGTTATTTGAGAATTGCTGAGTGGCAGAGCGTGTGTCAGTGAGTGCTAAAGAGCGTTGATAGCATTGGTGAGTGGCGGCGAGCATGGGTGAGCGTTGGTGAGCGTGGGGGAGTGTGAGTGTGGGTGTGGGTGAATGTGTCGAGTGGTTGCGAGTGCTGGCGAGCGTGGGTGGTGAGCGTGGGTGATGAGTGTGAGTGGTGAGTGTGAGTGGTGAGCGTGGGTGGTGAGCGTGGGTGGTGAGCGTGGTGAGCGTGGGTGGTGAGCGTGGCTGCTCACGCGTGCAGCAGCTGGCGCACGGTGGAGGGGTTGATCGCGAGGTGGAAGCAGCGCACGGGGTCCAGCGCGTGGTCACGGTAATACTGCAGAACCATCCTGGGCACGGGGAGGGGGGGGGGCACAGGGGGACACGGGGGGGGGCACAGGGGGGCACGGAGGATGGGGGGCACGGGGAGGACAGTTGAGGGGCAGGTCAGCACTTGCGGGGTCAAGGAGAGCAGGTGATGGGCATGGAGGGACAGGTCAGATGAGGTCAGGTGAGTGAGGGCGGGTGAGGGTGAATGAGGGGAGGTGAGGGCGGGTGAGCGAGTGAGGGCGAGTGAGAGTGAGTAAGTGAGGGCAGGTGGTTGAGGGTGAGTGAGGGTGGGTGAGAGCGAGTAAGGGTGAGTGAGGGTGGGTGAGGGTGGGTGGGTGAGGGTGGGTGGGTGGGTGAGGATGGGTGGGTGAGGGTGAGTGAGGGTGAGTGAGGGTGGCTGTGGGTAGGTGAGGGTGGGTGAGGTTAGGTGAGGGTGGGTGAGGGTGAGTGAGGGTGGGTGAGTGAGGGTGAGTGGGTGTGGGTGAGTGAGGGTGGGTGAGTGGGTGAGGGTGGGTGAGTGAGGGTGGGTGTGGGTGAGTGAGGGTGGGTGTGGGTGAGTGAGGGTGAGTGAGTGTGAGTGAGGGTGGGTGAGGGTGAGTGGGTGAGGGTGGGTGTGGGTGAGTGAGGGTGGGTGTGGGTGAGTGAGGGTGAGTGAGTGTGAGTGAGGGTGGGTGAGGGTGAGTAAGGGTGAGTGAGTGAGTGAGGGTGAGTGAGGGTGAGTGAGGGTGAGGGAGGGTGGGTGAGGGTGGGTGGGTGTGGGTGAGTGAGTGAGGGAGAGGGTGAGTGAGGGTGGGTGAGTGAGTTAGTGTGGGTGAGGGTGAGTGGGTGAGGGTGGGTGAGTGAGGGTGGGTGTGGGTGAGTGAGGGTGGGTGTGGGTGAGTGAGGGTGGGTGAGTAAGGGTGAGTGAGTGAGTGAGGGTGAGTGAGGGTGAGGGTGGGTGGGTGTGGGTGAGTGAGGGTGGGTGAGTGAGTTAGTGTGGGTGAGTGAGGATGAGTGGGTCGGGTGGGTGAGTGAGGGTGGGTGTGGGTGAGTGAGTGAGGGTGAGTGAGTGAGGGTGGGTGTGGGTGAGTGAGTGAGGGTGAGTGAGTGAGGGTGAGTGAGAGTGAGTGAGGGTGAGTGAGGGTGAGTGAGGGTGAGTGAGGGTGAGTGTGGGTGAGTGAGGCTGAGTGAGGGTGAGTGAGGGTGGGTGAGGGTGAGTGAGTGAGGGAGTGAGTGAGGGTGGGTGAGTGAGGCTGAGTGAGGCTGAGTGAGGGTGAGTGTGGGTGAGTGAGTGAGGGTGAGTGAGGGTGAGTGAAGGTGGGTGAGTGAGGGTGGGTGTGGGTGAGTGAGGCTGAGTGAGGGTGAGTGAGGCTGAGTGAGGGTGAGTGAGGGTGAGTGAGGCTGAGTGAGGGTGAGTGAGGGTGAGTGAGTGAGGCTGAGTGAGGCTGAGTGAGGGTGAGTGAGGGTGAGTGAGGGTGAGTGAGGGTGGGTGTGGGTGAGTGAGGGTGGGTGTGGGTGAGTGAGGGTGAGTGAGTGTGAGTGAGTGAGGGAGAGGGTGAGTGAGGGTGGGTGAGGGAGTTAGTGTGGGTGAGGGTGAGTGGGTGAGGGTGGGTGAGTGAGGGTGGGTGTGGTGAGTGAGGGTGGGGTGTGGGTGAGTGAGGGTGGGTGTGGGTGAGTGAGGGTGAGTGAGTGTGAGTGAGGGTGGGTGAGTAAGGGTGAGTGAGTGAGTGAGGGTGAGTGAGGGTGAGGGTGGGTGGGTGTGGGTGAGTGAGGGTGGGTGGGTGTGGGTGAGTGAGGGTGGGTGAGTGAGTTAGTGTGGGTGAGTGAGGATGAGTGGGTCGGGTGGGGTGAGTGAGGGTGGGTGTGGGTGAGTGAGTGAGGGTGAGTGAGTGAGGGTGGGTGTGGGTGAGTGAGTGAGGGTGAGTGAGTGAGGGAGTGAGAGTGAGTGAGGGTGAGTGAGGGTGAGTGAGGATGAGTGAGGGTGAGTGTGGGTGAGTGAGGCTGAGTGAGGGTGAGTGAGGGTGGGTGAGGGTGAGTGAGTGAGGGAGTGAGTGAGGGTGGGTGAGTGAGGGTGAGTGAGGGTGAGTGAGGGTGAGTGAGTGAGGGTGGGTGAGTGAGGCTGAGTGAGGCTGAGTGAGGGTGAGTGTGGGTGAGTGAGTGAGGGTGAGTGAGGGTGAGTGAAGGTGGGTGAGTGAGGGTGGGTGTGGGTGAGTGAGGCTGAGTGAGGGTGAGTGAGGCTGAGTGAGGGTGAGTGAGGGTGAGTGAGGGTGGGTGTGGGTGAGTGAGGCTGAGTGAGGGTGAGTGAGTGAGGCTGAGTGAGGCTGAGTGAGGCTGAGTGAGGGTGAGTGAGGGTGAGTGAGGGTGAGTGAAGGTGGGTGAGTGAGGGTGGGTGTGGGTGAGTGAGGCTGAGTGAGGGTGAGTGAGGCTGAGTGAGGGTGAGTGAGGGTGAGTGAGGGTGGGTGTGGGTGAGTGAGGCTGAGTGAGGGTGAGTGAGTGAGGCTGAGTGAGGCTGAGTGAGGCTGAGTGAGGGTGAGTGAGAGTGAGTAAGGGTGACGGTGAGTGAGGCTGAGTGAGGGTGAGTGAGGGTGAGTGAGGCTGAGTGAAGGTGGGTGAGTGAGGGTGAGTGTGGGTGAGTGTGGGTGAGTGTGGGCGAGGGTGAGTGAGGGTGAGTGAGTGAGGGTGAGTGAGGGTGAGTGAGGGTGAGTAAGGGTGAGGGTGATTGAGGCTGAGTGAGGGTGAGTGAGGGTGAGTGAGGGTGAGTGAGGCTGAGTGAAGGTGGGTGAGTGAGGGTGAGTGTGGGTGAGTGTGGGCGAGGGTTAGTGAGGGTGAGTGAGTGAGGGTGAGTGAGGGTGAGTGAGGGTGAGTGTGGGTGAGTGTGGGTGAGTGTGAGTGAGGGTGAGTGAGTGAGGGTGAGTAAGGGTGAGTGAGGGTGAGTGAGGGTGAGTGTGGGTGAGGGTGAGTGAGGGTGAGTGAGTGAGGGTGAGTGAGGGTGAGTGTGGGCGAGGGTGAGCGAGGGTGAGTGAGGGTGAGTGAGGGTGGGTGTGGGTGAGTGAGGGTGAGTGAGGCTGAGTGAGGGTGAGTGAGGCTGAGTGAGTGAGGGTGAGTGAGGGTGAGTGTGGGCGAGGGTGAGTGAGGGTGAGTGAGGGTGGGTGTGGGTGAGTGAGGGTGAGTAAGGGTGAGGGTGAGTGAGGCTGAGTGAGGGTGGGTGAGGGTGAGTGAGGGTGAGTGAGGGTGAGTGAGTGAGGGTGAGTGAGGCTGAGTGAAGGTGAGTGAGGGTGGGTGAGGGTGAGTGAGGGTGAGTGAGGGTGGGTGTGGGTGAGGGTGAGTGTGGGTGAGTGAGGCTGAGTGAGGGTGAGTGAGGGTGAGTGAGGGTGAGTGAGTGTGGGTGAGTGAGGGTGAGTGAGGCTGAGTGAGGGTGGGTGAGGCTGAGTGAAGGTGGGTGAGTGTGGGTGAGGGTGGGTGTGGGGTGAGTGTGGGTGAGGGTGAGTGAGGCTGAGTGAGGGTGAGTGAGGGTGGGTGGGTGTGGGTGAGTGAGGGTGAGTGAGGGTGAGTGAGGCTGAGTGAAGGTGGGTGAGTGAGGGTGAGTGTGGGTGAGTGTGGGTGAGTGAGGGTGGGTGTGAGTGAGGGTGGGTGTGGGTGAGGGTGAGTGAGTGAGGGTGAGTGAGTGAGTGAGTGTAGGTGAGGGTGCGTCACGCACGTGGTGAGGGAGAAGAGCTGCTCGTGCGGCGGGTGCAGCACGGAGCGGTAGGTGGCCACCAGTTCCAGCGCGTGGTGCAGCTGGTGCAGCCGCTGCACCTGGCCCTGCACGTCGCCCCAGCCCGACACATAGTGCTCCTGCACCAGCAGAGGCACCATCATCAGCAGCAGCATCATCATCATCAGCATCATCATCAGCATCATCATCAGCAGTATCATCAGCATCATCAGCACGCATCATCAAAGCACCTCTGGTTAGCACGGTAAGCTACGTACCTGTCAACCCCTTATCAGTGCTTCCTTCCTTATTACAGACCAACTCAGACCGTATTGGTCACCCCGTGGTGCCCTTATAAATCTCAACGTTCATCCTACACAAAGTCCCATCACGAGGAAGAAACAACAAACAAAAACTAATTTTCTTTGGGCCGTATTGAAACGGCTGTCCGCCGTATGGACCTGAAAACTCGATTTCCTTGTCCGGGGTAAACCGCACGGGTTGACAGGCGTGGCATAACCATGGCACAATCGGAACGGACCAAAGTGTTGTTGTCGTTTGTTGTTGTCTATGTCGACGCACCAGGTAGTTGAGAGTGGTCAGCTCTTGTCCTGCGAACACGGAGAGAGAGAGAGAAAGAGACAGACATTACTCGCCGAGACAACACAGACTCGGAGAGACGACTTCGGCGCTCCTCCAAGGTTTCCCCCACCCATACCCTCGGGCGCCGTGCCGGCCTTCACGGGAGCTCGCCAAAAGCACTTTCCCCAACTTGAGTCACACGCGACGGGTGCAGCGTTTGTACGTTCTCCCCCTGCTCTGCATGGGTTCCCTCCCACAGCTAAAACCTACACAGAGTGTGACTGGCATTAGCGCCACAACGTCCGTATCGCTCAGACGCGACCTGCAAACCATTCGATTGGCGTCACGCACAGCAGCAGCAGCGGCAGCAGCAGCAGCAGCGGCAGCAGAGACAGCAGCAGCAGCAGCGGCAGCAGCAGCAGCAGCAGCAGCGGCAGCAGCAGCAGCAGCAGCAGCAGCGGCAGCAGCAGCAGCAGCAGCAGCAGCGGCGGCAGCAGAGACAGCAGCAGCAGCAGCGGCAGCAGCAGCAGTAGCAGCAGCAGCAGCAGCGGTGGCAGCAGCAGCGGAAGCAGCAGCAGCAGCAGCGGCTGCTGCAGCAGCGGCAGCAGAGACACCGCCTAACGCCACGCCACTGAGAGCCCCGCAAGGAGCGAGCGGGTGGACGCACGCGGCGATCGGCGGTGTGGCGCTGGCCGCGGTTCTACCGAGGAAGTAGTGGATGTAGTCACGGCGCAGCTTCTCCAGGCCGATCTCCAGCAGCAGCTGCACGGGCGCCAGGCCCGCCAGCGTCACCGGCTCCACCGCCGCCGCCGCCGTCGCGGCGCCGCCGATGCCGCCGCCACTCTCCAGAGAGCGCCGCACCACGCGGCTCAGCTGGCTCGCGCTGTCGCGGTGAGTCTGGGGGGGGGGGGCGGAGGTCAGCAGAGGTCACGGGGTGCAGCAGGGGTCAAGGGGGGGCAGCAGCAGGGGTCAAGGGTGATCGCGTATGTGCGAGTGAAAGCGTGTGAGCGACAGCGTGCGAGTGGCTAGTAGGAAGCACAGGCGGTGCATCTGTCGGTCAGCTCAGTCAACCCACGGCACCTGGGTCTGTCCCGTGACCTCCTGTGTCAGCGAGCCTTCCACACTTCACGTGGCCACAACGTGCACCTAGCCTGGCACAAGCGCTGTGGTGACATCACTGCCAATTAGTGGCAAAAAGGCAGCTGTTGTATGCGTGTGTTAGTGATGGGGGGGTTGGTGCCGCGGCTGTTTAGCGCACTGCGCTACGAACCGTGCATCCACGAGTTCAATTCCTGCTCACAGCCAACACCAGTGATGCATATCCGAACTAGCCGATTCGGCCTTGTACGAGTACCTGACGCGGTGTGTAAACATCACTGGGGAGACAAAGGCTGGGCGTGGTGCTGTCCACGCACACCCTTGCGTGCCGCGCCGGCCTCTACAGGTGCTGCTAATCGCTAACTCCACTTGCCCCGAGAGCTTGTTGAAGGCTACACGGGGGATCTTTGTCCTTGTGCGAGAGACAGAGGCAGAGGGGGGGGGGCGACTGACCCACGGCTGGATGTCGCCGCGCTCCAGGCTCTGCAGGACCAGGCGGAGGCACTTGACCAAGTCGGAGTAGCCAGACATGGCTGTGGCACACGCACGCATGGAGACACGCGCACAAATACATCACAGGCCGTAGCATACACGCATCACACACACATAACAAACACGCATAGAAGGCACAGGAGGCATCCGACTCATCAGCCTTGCCTGTGTCCCACCACTGATGGTCATCTCCAGTGGGGGCGGAAGCCTCCACACCACCGCCACCATTCCACGCCTCCCACTGACGGGGGAGGCGAGCCCACAAAAGCCTGGGACCTGCAGCTTCCCACACCTCGCCACCGCGTTCCCACTCCCACCCATCATTCTTTTGTTCAGTACAACAGCAACAGCCGTTGTTTCGCCAGTACGTGGTGGTGACATCACCACCGGTGCTCGTGCCAGGCTAGGTGCACCTTGAGGGCACATAAAGCGTCGAAGGCTCACTGGCACAGGAGGTCACGGAACAGACCCAGCTGCCGTGGGTTGACTGACTGAGATGACTTGCGGATGCACCACCTGTGCATCCTACTGTGCCATTTCGCTGCGTGTTATCCGCCGGGCGCTCCGCTCGTTGTTGTGAACGTTGCTCCCCAGCCCTCCGTGGTTGTTGGCGGGCAAATGCCTCTAACTGCCCGGTAGCATTCTTCAAGAGCCTCCTCCAGAGGTCGATCTTGGCACCGCTGGTAACGGCCATCGGGAAGTCCACTTCAAATCCTCCTGTACCCCATCAGCTCCATCTCTTCTCGAGACCATGCCGTGCCCATTTAGCGCCATCTATCCAGTCAAACGTAAGCCCGCTTGGGCATTCGGTGGCTGGACATGTGGCTGGCTCCACACTCAAGACGCACACTCACATACACACACGCTCACATGCGCACACTCACACACGCGTGCACTCACATACACACACTCACACACGCGCACACTCACACACGCGCACACTCACACACTCACGCGCACACTCACACGCGCACACTCACGCGCACACTCACACACGCGCGCACTCACACGCGCGCACACTCACACACGCGCGCACACTCACACACGCGCGCACACTCACACACGCGCGCACACTCACACACGCGCGCACACTCACACACGCGCACACTCACGCACACTCCCACCCACATCGCTCTGGGCAGCACGAGACCATTCCACCCAGATTTACCTCCAGCGCCACTCAACCAGCGTCGTACAGTTTGCCGGCCGCCAGGGTTCAGGAGTCAGGGGTCACGTACCGGACTTGACCTTGACCCAGAGCTGCTCGGTGAAATCGAGGTCGCTGCGCTTGGGCACGGCAGACGCCAGGATGATGGCGTCCACCGAGGTGCTGCCCCCCCGCGACTCCTGATTCATCGCCGTGGAAACGACACGCGGGCACGCGTTGGGGTGGGTGGGGAGGGGGGGTCGATGCCATCACCGCTCCTGACCACGCAGCCACCACTCCTCATCGCTCGTGAGATCGCGATCGGTAGGGCACCTTCATGATTATTATTATTTACCACGATTCCGCTCTCAGGTGTCTTTGTCGGGAGGGTTGCTGTCGAGTTTCCGCAGGAAGGGGGGCGATGTCGCTGTTGTGCGAGATCCCGATTTGATTTCGATTTAAAGCTTTCGTGACTGCAGGGATTCATCTTCTTGGTTCTTTGGGTAAAGTCACGTAGAAGGGAAGTAATAAAATAATAAAAATAAAACATAATAAAATAATTCTCACGACGTTTCGGCCACAACGCAAGCAGCCTTCCTCAGGTGAAGAACAGGTCTGTCAGAAAGACAGACCCATTCAGACGCTGTCTTTCTGACAGACCTGTTCTTCACCTGAGGACGGCTGCTTGCTTGTGGCCGAAACGTCGTGAGAATTATTTTATTGTTTTTTAAAATTATTTTATTACTTCCCTTCTACGTGATTTTACCGAAAGAACCAAGAATATGAATCCCGATTTGAGTGATTTATTTTTTTTACCATTCGGGAATGTGATTTTCCCAAGCCCACCAGTTCCACTGGGCTTGTGGGTTTAGCTATGGGAGGAGGAAAGCGGAGAACCCGGACGAAACCCACACAGAACAGGGGGAGAGAACGTACAACTCGGCAAAGCATCTGTGACGGGAATCGAACCCAGGACCAACTTGCTGTGAGGCTGCCCTCTGCTTTATATAATCACGAGCTTTACTACCCGGCTTCGCCCGAGACTTGGATTCTTGTCTTGGATTAACACACGGCCTACGCGGAGGGTGGGGGCGGGGGGGTGCGTGACGCCAGCAGGCACACTGCGTGACGCTGCCGCATGCGGGTGACATCACGGATCACGGATGTGACGTCACCTGCTCACTTGCAAAATACAAAAGTCTATTTTTATACTTTTTGTATTGTGTACAGTCTGGAAGCTACACACATGCCAAATTTTGTTGCATGTCGGGAAGTACACTAAACAATTCGGACACACATTTTCACAAATTTCCCTCTTTTTATAAATATAAATTTAGCTGGGTTACACACTGACGCAGGGCACGGCTCACAAGCGGGAGGTGTGGCTGGCACCACGCATGGCCGCCTTTGTCTCCCCAGTGCTGATGTTTACAGCCCACACTGGGTACTCATTTGAGGCCGAGTCAACCTAGTGGAGCCCCAGGCCCGCTTCAGATAATCTCCACCGGTGTTGGCTGCGAGCGGGAATCGAACTCGGCTGGCTGGGTACCGTAGCGCGGTGCCCTAACCGCTGCGCCACCACTCCCCACACCGCCGAACACAACAACGACCGGCGTTCACCACTAAGTGGCGGCGACGTCACCACGGCGCCTGTGCCATGCTAGGTGCACTGAGGCCACGTGAAGTGTCGAAAGCGCGCTGGCGGGAGGACCGCCCACACGCGCACACACACCTAGGGTACACGCACACCAATGGTACACGCACACAGGTACACGCACACAGGTACACGCACACAGGTACACGCACACCAATGGTACACGCACACAGGTACACGCACACAGGTACACGCACACAGGTACACGCACACAGGTACACGCACACCAATGGTACACGCACACAGGTACACGCACACAGGTACACGCACACCAATGGTACACGCACACAGGTACACGCACACAGGTACACGCACACCAAGGGTACACGCACACAGGTACACGCACACAGGTACACGCACACCAAGGGTACACGCACACAGGTACACGCACACAGGTACACGCACACAGGTACACGCACACCAAGGGTACACGCACACAGGTACACGCACACAGGTACACGCACACAGGTACACGCACACAGGTACACACACACCAAGGGTACACGCACACAGGTACACGCACACAGGTACACGCACACAGGTACACGCACACCAAGGGTACACGCACACAGGTACACACACACAGGTACACACACACAGGTACACGCACACAGGTACACGCACACAGGTACACGCACACCAAGGGTACACGCACACAGGTACACGCACACCAAGGGTACACGCACACCAAGGGTACACGCACACAGGTACACGCACACAGGTACACGCACACAGGTACACGCACACAGGTACACGCACACCAAGGGTACACACACACAGGTACACGCACACAGGTACACGCACACAGGTACACGCACACAGGTACACGCACACAGGTACACGCACACAGGTACACGCACACCAAGGGTACACGCACACAGGTACACGCACACAGGTACACGCACACAGGTACACGCACACCAAGGGTACACACACACAGGTACACGCACACCAAGGGTACACGCGCACACACAACTGCGAGCGTACGACGCCCCCCCAACGCGGAGTGTGCTGCGGTACCGTAAGCGCGTTACCTCCTCCGTCACCTCCGGGGTCTGTGGGAAGTTCTGGCCGCTCTTCATCTCTGCGAACGAGGAGAGAGGCGGCAGGCAACCGAGGGTCAACGGGGTTCACGCACGGGAACCGCCACCCCCCCACCACGGTAAAGTGGGTGGTTGTGCACGGGTGTCCGTGTGCAAGGAGCGGTGGCGCAGCGATTCGCGCACCACGCTACGAACCCGGCGACACGCGTTCCGATTCCCCTCCAGGATAACAGCGGAGGATATCTGAACCGGTCCTGGGCCTCTGCTGCGGTGGACTCAGCCTTAAATGTGCACTGGGAAGACAAAGGCGGCCGGGGGGGGTGGTGCTGGCCATCCACCCTCTCGTGTGCCGCGTCGGCCTTCGGAGATGCTCGGCCTCAAAGGCTACACGGGGGTATTTGTGTGTAGGGCGGTGCGGGGATATGTGGGGATATGTGTGACCGTGTGTGTGTGTGGGGGAGTGTTAAGGATGAGGACAATGGAGCATAGTGTATTCGTGCGCGTGGGGTGGTGGTACGTGGTGTATGTGCGTAGGTGTATCTGATGTGTATATGGGCGAGTGCAGTGTGTACAGGTGTGTGGGGCGAAATGTTAACTACCTTGCCAGATATACAGGAGGTTATGGGTTAGATCCCGACGCTACGCATGTATACTTGGAGTTTGCATGTTTTCCCCGTGGTCGTGTTGATTTTCTCCAGGACCTCTGGGTTTTCCCTCCACATTTAGAATCAACATTTGGCTGCTATTAATGTCCACGTGACAAGCCACTTCGTTGAGCTGTCATTTGTGGCCAGGTCGCTTCTGAAAAAGAGTTACATAGCTCAGTGGGCCTTACCTGGAAAAATGTAAAATAGTAAATAATGGTAGTGTGCATGTGTTGGGTGTGGTGTGTCAGTGTGGTGGGTGGGTGTGTTGTGTGACGGTGTGGTAGTTTATGTGGTGTGTTGGTGTGGTGGTGTGTATGGGGGGTGTGGTGGGTGGGCGTGTGGTGGTGTGGTGGTGTGGTGGTTTGTGTGGTGTGTTGGTGTGTATGGGGGGTGGAGAGATTGAGTGATGTGGTACAGGAGGACGTGGAGCTGAGTGGACTTGCCAATGACTGGTACCAGCGGTGTCAAGACCGGCCTCTGTGGAGGAGGCTCGTGAAGGACGCTACTGGGCAGTTGGAGGCAGTCGCCCTCCAACAACAACGGAGGGCGAAGGAGCGATGCTCACAACAATGAGCGGAGCGCCGGGTGGCTAAAGCACAGCAAGTTGGCACAGTAGGGGGCACAGGTGGTGTATCAGCCAGTCGTCTCAGTCAGTCGACCTGTGGCATCTGGGTCTGCCCCGTGACCTCCTGCCGGCGGGCGTTCGACACTTCATGTGGCCTCAAGGTGCGTGGTGACGTCACCGCCACTTAGTGGCGAATGGCGGTTGTTGTAATTGGGGGTGTGGTGGGTGTGTGGCGGGGTGTGTGGTGTGTCTGAGGGGTGTGATGGGTGGGTGTGTGGTGGCTTGATGGTGTGATGGTTTGTGTGGTGTGTCAGTGTGGTGCTGTGTGTGGTGGGTGGGTGTGTGGTGGTGTGTGTAGTGTGTCAGTGTGGTGCGTATGGTGGGTGGGTGTGTGGCATGACGGTGTGGTGGTGTGTGCGGTGGATGTGTGGTGGTGTGATTGTTTGTGTGGTGTGTCAGTGTGGTGCTATGTGTGGTGGATGTGGGGTTGTGTGATGGTTTGTGTGGTGTGTCAGTGTGGTGGGTGGGTGTGTGGCATGACTGGTGTGGTGGTGTGTGTGGTGGTGTGATGGTTTGTGTGGTGTGTCAGTGTGGTGCTGTGTATGGTGGGCGGGTGTGTGGTGGTGTGTGTAGTGTGTCAGTGTGGTGCGTATGGTGGGTGGGTTTATGGCATGACGATGTGGTGGTGTGATGGTGTGATGGTTTGTGTGGTGTATCAGTGCAGTGTATCAGTGTTGTGCTGTGTATGGCGTGTGGGTGTGGTGGTGTGTGTGTGGCGTGACGGTGTGGTGGTGGTAGTGGTATGATGTGTGTGTGTGGCAAGTCATAGTAACTGCCCGTCGTTGTTTATGCTCCCCGAGGGGGTGGATGGGAGAGAGAGGGAAGGGGGTTCATTCCCCTGCCTCCGTCAAACTGGGTTCGGCCGGGAGAGACGTCACCGACGTCCCCCCGGCGCCCTGCGGCTCACCCACTTCGCCCACCGCTCTCTCCTCCGCGCTTCTCTGCTCGCGACGCCGACGGTGGAGTGGGAGGCACGGTCAGCCCCCCCCCCACTGACCGGCGCGCGAGCCTCTCGGCCGACGGCGTCGCTCGCAGCGACCACCCCGCGGTTGTGACCGTGAAGAAGGTCCCCCGTGTAGCCTACGCGGCAGGTGCCGTGGGCGAGCAGCGCGTACGAACTGTCGGCACGATGCGCCTACGAGGGGGTGGTTGTGTGCACAAGGCCACGCGCGCACCGGCCGCCTTTGTCTCCCCAGTGCCGATTGTTACACACGTCCGTCCCGTGAACTCCTGCCAGCGAACCCTCGGCGATTTACGTGCCCTCACAGTGCACCTAGTCTGGCACGAGCCCCATGGCGACGTCACATGGTGGTTGTTGTGTGTGTGTGTAATTGGTGTGTGTACGCGCGTAATGGATGTGTGTTAATAGGTGGGTGTGCAGGTGCGTAATGGGTGTGTGTGTGTGTAGGTGGGTGTGTGTAATGGGCGTGTATGTACAAGAGGGTTTGTGCGGTGGTGCATTGGGTGTGTGTGTGTATAGATGGGTGTGTGCGTGTGTTCATAGGCTACATTGGATCTTTGTCTTCGTGTGAGGGTGTGTCATGGGTGTGTGTACAGAAGGGTGTATGTGTGTGTGTAGGTTGGTGCATGTGTAGAGGAGGGTGTGTGTGTGTGTGTAGGTCGTTGTGTGGGTATAGGAGGGTTTCTGTGTGTGTGTGTTTAGGTGGGTGTGTGTGCAGCCCATGGGCTTGTAATTACCAACACGCTGTTCTGGCATCAGCGCATCCACACATCATGAATGCATGCCGGGTCCAAACAAGAACATCTGCTGGACTACATAGTGACGGACCAGCGGATGCGAGCCCATGTCCTTGACACCAGGACCAACCGTGGAGCTGATCTGCCCTCTGACCATCGACTAGTTATCTGTAAGATGCGCCTGCCATTCTTCCACGCCGTTGGTGGGTGTACACCCAGGACCCCATTCCAACCTAAGGTGGCCTGGTCTCAGTTAGCTGATGAAAGTTGCAAGCGAGAATTTCATCATCGCTTGCGGCTGGGGTCGGCATCGTCCCCCACTCCTCCTGATGTCGAGGGTAAATGGGCGAGGTTTAGGACTGTGACTCATACAGCTGCAATGGCTGCTTTGGGTACGCAGTTCAGACCTCCCCAGAGACCCTGGCTGACAGAGGAGGTGTTCAGAATGATTTAGAAAAAGCGACAGGCCCACTCTAATCATCTACAGCATCCCACGTCAGAGAATGAGGTGGCTTACCGCAGCCTTCGCTCGAAGGTTCGGACAGCCGTGAGGCGCTGCAAAGATGGGTGGTGGTCACGGGTTGCTGAGGAGATAGATTCTGCCTCAGTGGCCCGCGATCACAAATCACTATTCAACTCCATCAAAAAAATAACCTGCAGCGCCACACCTATTACCATTATTAGGGGAAAAACGGTGATCCAATCTCCGACCCCCAGGAACAGGTTTGCAGATTTGCTGAGCATTTCTGAGGTCCTGGGGGGAGGGAAAATACCTCAGCCAGGAAAACATCATGGCACAAAGTGGGGTTGACCCTGCTGAGGCTGCGGTGCCTCAAATATTGGAACAAGTCACCCCCTATGAGTGGCTGGCTGAGGTGCCATCTGTTGAGGAAGTACTAAAGGCGATCCAGAGTCTGAGACCAGGAAAGGCACCGGGCAGAGATGATCTCCCAAGCGAAATGCTTAGAGAGGGTGGTGTTTGTGCATAAACTGCCCTACATTACATCATAACAGTCTGGACCACTGGACGGGTTCCGCAGGATTGGAAGGATGCCCTGGTAGTCCCCCTCTTTAAGAAGGGGAACTGCACAGACTGTAACAACTACAGGGGCATCTCACTCCTCAGTGTGCCGGGAAAGGTCCTGGCAAGGATTATTCAACATCGCCTTGCTAGGCACGCTGAGGAGAGGCTTGCGGAGCCCCAATGCGGTTTCAGGAAAGGGAGGTCCTGCACAGATGCTAAATTTTATGTCCGTCTGCTACAGCAGAGGTGTAGGGAATTCCAACAAGACCTACATCTCTGCTTTATTGACCTGGGCAAGGCCTAAGATACCATCAGTAGGCCTGGGCTCTGGGTTGTTCTTCGTGCTTTCGGAGTCCCTGACCCTCTGCTCACGATCATTAAGGACCTTCATGATGGTGAGCGGGCCCGGGTAAAACTACATGGCCGGGAGTCGGAGCCTTTCCCTGTACACCTTGGGGTGCGACAGGGATGTCCTCTGGCTCCCACATTATTTAACATCTATTTTGACCGCGTAGTTCGTGAAGCCTTCCATAGCTGTACCGGGGGAATTTCCATTTGGTACAGATATAATGGGAGGCTGATCGATGCCCGGGTGCGATCAAGGGATGGCTCCCTATTGGTCAATCACGTTATGTATGCCGATGATTTGGTAATAGCTGCTCATTCAGAAGAGGAGTTGGAGACGCTGCTGCTGAGACTGGAGCGTGCCACTAAGAGGTGGGGCCTTACCATCAGCCCCACCAAAACTAAGCACCTGCCTGGGTATTTTGTACCATCGGACACTCCACCCCCACAACTCCCAATTGGTGATGGGGCAGTTGTGGAGAGAGTGGAGAGTTTCCCATACCTGGGCAGTGTGCTTATGACCGGCTCCAGTTTATCAGCAGAGGTCTCACTCCGAATCAGTCGAGCGGCAATATCTTTTCATCGGTTGCGTAACGCTGTGTGGAAGCTACCTGGTCTGTCGCTCCGCACGAAACTTCAGGTCTTCTCGGCCACGGTCATTCCCTCCCTTCTCTACGCTTGCGAAACGTGGACCCCCCTAGTGGAGCATCTTCGCCGGTTGGAAACATTTAGGCTGGCCTGCCTACGATCCATCCTGGGTTTAACCAGGCTGGATTGTGTGAGGAGCTCACAAGTCCTTGAAAGATCTGGGCAAAGTCCCATCAGTGAGCTCCTCCGGCAGGCAAGGCTGCGTTGGCTGGGTCATGTAGCCCGCATGCCCAGCCACCGCATGCCTAAACAGCTTTTGTTCGGCCGGATCGAGGGAGCTAGACGGGCGCGGCACGGGCTGGAGAAGAGATGGAGTGATGTGGTACAGGAGGACGTGGAGCTAAGTGGACTTGCCGATGACTGGTACCAGCGGTGTCAAGATCGGCCTCAGTGGAGGAGGCTCGTGAAGGACGCTACTGGGCAGTTGGAGGCAGTCGCCCTCCAACAACAACGGAGGGCGGAGGAGCGACGCTCACAACAACGAGCGGAGCGCCGGGTTGATAAAGCACAGCAAGTTGGTACAGTAGGGGGCACAGGTGGTGCATCAGCCAGTCATCTCGGTCATCTCGGTCAGTCGACCCGTGGCACCTGGGTCTGCCCCGTGACCTCCTGCCAGCGGGCGTTCGACACTTCACGTGGCCTCAAGGTGCACTTGGCCTGGCACAAGCATCGTGGTGACGTCACCGCCACTTAGTGGCGAATGGCGGTTGTTGTTGTGTGTACAGGAGGGAGGGTGTGTGTGTAGGTGGGTGTGTGGGTATAGGAGGTTGTCTGTGTGTGTGTAGGTGGGTGTGTGTGTACAGGAGGGAGGGTCTGTGTTTAGGTGGGTGTGTGGGTTTTGCAGGGTGTCTGTGTGTGTGTGTAGGTGTGTGTGTGTACAGGAGGGAGGGACTGTGTGTAGGTGGGTGTGTGTGTAGAGGAGGGTGTCTGTGTGTGTGTAGGTGGGTGTGTGATGGGTGTAGTTTACTGGTGGTTAATCGAAGGTGGAGGGGTTACCAGCCCCTCGCACCCGTCCAGAGCCCCCGTTTAGCCACTGTGGTGGACACAGACGCCATGAGGGGAGAGGCCAATGGGCATTGGCCCTCCCCCCACAGCACTGCCCACGACAGTGTTGCCCGTCCGGCACCGCGAGGAGGTAGGAGGTTGTTTTGCCGGACTTGGCCTGGCACAAGCATCGTGGTGACGTCACCGCCACTTAGTGGCGAATGGCGGTTGTTGTTGTTGTTGTGATGGGTGTAATGGATGTGCACGTGGACCTGACACCCGCACCCTCCCTGCCCTAACATCACTTGGGCAGGTGCAGGCCAGGCGCTGGGCCGTGACACCAGCGCCACCTCGCGGTGAGTGGCGGCTACTGGCGGGTGTGGTGATGGCAGAGGTGGCGGTGGTGTCGGTGATGATTGTGGTGGTGGAGGTTGTGGTGATGGCGGTTGTGGTGATGGCAGAGGTGGCGGTGGTGTCGGTGATGACTGTGGTGGTGGAGGTTGTGGTGGCAGTGGTGTCGGTGATGATTGTGGTGGTGGCGGTTGTGGTGATGGCGGTTGTGGTGATGGTGGTGGTGTCGGTGATGATTGTGGTGTTGGCGGTTGTGGTGGTGGCGGTTGTGGTGGTGGCGGTTGTGGTGATGGCGGTGGTGGCGGTGGTGTCGGTGATGATGGTGGCAGTTGTGGTGATGGCGGTGGTGGCGGTTGTGGTGATGGCAGTGGTGGCGGTAATAATGGTGGTGGTTGTAGTGATGGTGCTGATTTTGAAGCTCGTGTTATCAGCAGCAGTTGAGGTGTTGCTGTCGATGATTGGTGGTGTGGATGTTTAAAGCGATGGTGTCGGTGTTGTTAGTAGTGGTGGTGTTGTTGTTGACGTATATTAGCATAGGTGTTTTGTTGATCTATCGCTGCGTGATTATGTTGTTCGTGATGTTGCTTATAACGATGTTAGACATTGTTGTTATTGTTGTTGCTGATGACGATGTTAGTATTGTTGTTGTTGGCGATGTTAGTATTGTTATGGCTGATGACGATGTTAGTATTGTTGTTGTTGGCGATGTTAGTATTGTTGTTGTTGTTGGCGATGTTAGTATTGTTATGGCTGATGACGATGTTAGTATTGTTGTTGTTGTTGGCGATGTTAGTATTGTTGTTGATGACGATGTTAGTATTGTTGTTATTGGCAATGTTAGTATTGTTGTTGTTGATGACGATGTAAGTATTGTTGTTGTTGACGATGTTAGTATTGTTGTATTGACCTTCGAGCAGCGAGCCCACGATTTCGCTCGCAGGCCGCGCCTCCAGCACCTCGGGCCACTCCATCTCCCCCGTGCGCAGGCCTCGCGCCAGGGCCTAGCCCACACACACACACAGGGGCACCCGCTCATAGGGGTCCTCACTCACAGGGGTACGCACACACAGGGGTACGCGCACACACAGGGGTCCTCACTCACAGGGTCCCTCACTCACAGGGGTACCGACGTATTGACGTCCTCGCTCACAGGGGTACCCACACACAATCACGCAGAGACTCGGACACACACATTCTCATACGTAGCACTGTGCTAACCACTGTGCCACCGCTCTCACACTGCCTCCCACAAAGATCCCCCGTATAGCCTTTAGCGGACTTTTGGGACGAGCGCTGTTAGCGAGTACCTATGAAGGCCGGGGTGTGTGATCAGCACCATGCCCAGTCACCTTTGTTTCCCGAGTATACGAGGTTTAAACACCGGCACCAGGTACTCATTTAACGCCGAGTTGACCTAGGGGAGGCTCGGGACCAGTTAAACTAATCGTCACTCGTGTTGGCCGCGAGCGGGAATCAAACTCGGGTCGCCGGGTTCGTAGCGCAGTGCGCTCCCCACTACGCTACCGAAGGCAAAGATCCCCGTGTAGCCTGAACAGACTCATGGGGCAAGTGCTGTTAGCGAGCATCCATGAAGGCCGGCACGGCGCACGAGCGGGCGATGTTCACACACCCCACCAGGTAACTCATTTGAGGCTGAGTCGATCTAGGGGAGACCCAGGACCGGTTCAGATAATCGTCACCGGTGTTGCGACCACGCTATAAATATTGTTGTTGTTGACGATGTTTGTATTGTTGTGAGTATTGTTGTTGTTGATGACCACCACCGCACACGCACCAGCAGGAAGTCGAGCTCGCGGTAGAGAGAGAAGGCCGGGCTCCGTGGGTCGCCGGGCTCCACGCGCAGAAGCTGCGCACCGCACACACACACAAAAGACAAAGATCCCACCCACCCCGTGTAGCCCACACAGGCTGTTGGGACAAGTGCTGCGGCGAGCGCCTACGAGGGGGTGGTGTGGCAAGGACCACGACGCCCGGCGGCCTTTGTCTCCCCAGTGCTGATGTTTAACACCCCGCACCAGGTACTCATTTGAGTCTAACCCAACCAAATGGAAAAGGTTCAGATTATAATCCGTCGCTGGTGTTGGCCGTGGGCAGGAATCAAGCTCTGGTTGCCGCTATACAAAGACAAAGATGCCCCTTATAGCCTTAACAGACTGTAGGGGCAAGTGCTGTTAGCGAGCATCTGTGAAGGCCGGCACGGCACACGAGGGGGTGGGTGGCCAGCAACATGTCCAGCCACCTTTGTCTCTCCAGTGACGATGTTCACACACTGCACCAAGTACTCATTTGAGGCCAAGTCGACCTCGGGGAGGCCCAAGACCGGTTCAGATAATCGTCACTTGTGTTGGCCGTGAGCGGGAATCGAAGTCGGGCCGCCGGATTCATGGCGCAGCGCGCTAACCGCTACACCACTCGCTCCCCACACACACAACCCAACCCAAATGAGGCTGGGACGATGTCAACGCGCGACACAGCCTCACCAGGGCCTGGACCCTCACCGAGTCCCCCACTCACCAGGGTCCCCGTAGCGTCGGCTGGCGGAGGCTGGCCCAGCTGGGCCACGCGGCTCCAGGTGAAGTCGAGCAGGAGGCTGCTCTGAGCCTCGGGCCCGGCCAGCGGCGCTGTCGAGTCCAGCGCGGAGTTGGCGCCAAATACATCGTAGCGCACGTACGCACGTGTCTTCACCTGCTCACGCGCACAGTCACAGGCGCGCAGTCGCGCGCATGCTCGTACACACGCGCAGTCACACGCGCACACATTCGGCGGTGCGGTGCGGCGTGGCTCCTCACCGCACTGGTGTGGTGCCTCTGCTTGTGGGCATCGCACAGCTTGTCCAGGGCGGGCAGTGCCACTCGGCGAGGTACGGGCCCTGCTCAAACACAAACACGTGAGTGTGGGCACGGGTTGTCTGTGTGGGCACGTGTTGTGCGCGTGGCCGCGACCGCTCCGTGCGGAGCAGCAGCGTGGCGATTAAATGCTACGAAGCTGGCGACCTGGGTTCGAATCACGGCCACAAACACCGGTGACGATTATCTGAACTGGTCCTGGGCCTCCCCTAGGTCGACTCAGCCTCATTTGAGTACCTTTGTGCAGTGTGTAAACAT